GTTACTGAATGTCTCTGTGACTCAGTTCCTTGTCTGTAAAATAGGGATTAAGGGCCGAGCCTGTGGCGCACTCGGGAGAGTGCGGCGCTGGGAGCGCAGCAGCGTTCCCGGCATGGGTTCGGATCCTATATAGGGATGACCGGTGCACTCACAGCGCTCACTGGCTGAGCGCGGTGTGGCCGGTCTCAAAAAGGAAAAAAAAAAAAATAGGGATTAAAACTAGCATTTTTCTTATGAGGTGGTTATGAGAAATAAATGAGCTAGTGTATGTAACGAACTTGAACAATGCCTGGCTCATAAATGTTTACTATGTGTTAGATATTATGTTACTTTTTAAAAGTGTACATGAACTTATTTGCCTAATTACACTTTTCTTTTTATTACTTTATAGTGGTTGGATTTCATCCCTTACTGGTCTCAACCAAAACATTCCTGTTGGAATTATGATGATAATCATAGCAGCACTTTTCACAGCATCGGCAGTCATCTCGCTAGTTATGTTTAAAAAAGTAAGTGAAATTTTGTTTGTAAATTTTTATAGTGAACCTGATGCAAAGTTCTCATTTTCCCATTTTGCTGTTTATTCAGTATAACCTCAAGCCATTGTATTCTTGGTCTAGTTAAGTTTGCTCTCTGAGAATTACTTTTTACTAAAAGTTATGCATACATATATTTTAGAAAATACCACATTTTTAGCTTACCGTAGAAAGGAAATATTTTAAAATCCTGTTAACTGAAGGTTTCTTTCATGAATTGAAGGGTCAACCTCATTTTCTAAATTTGAATTTGCAAATGTACTTTAATTTCCTTCTTTGTGGGGTGTTGTGTTTTTTTTTTTTTNAAAAAAAAAAAAGCCAAACAAACAAAAAGCAACCCAACAAACTAGCACTCTGCAGATTTTTGACGTGGACTTGGGGTTAAGGAATAGGATCGTGGTGGTGGTGGGAAAAAGAGCTAGTGGTGATATTTCACAACTCCTGGATCCATACTCGATTTTTTCAAATACATCATGTATTTCTTTGTCCCAGTTTTTGTTCATGCTATGCTTCTGAACCCATGAATTTCTGCCAGTGGAAGACCTCACTAGTGTTCTTTTGAGATCCAGTTCAGATCTTGCTGCCTCTTCCACAGAAGCTTTCTCAATACCCTATGTCTTAGGGATTATGTCATTCTGAGTTTTCTTGGGGAACTTACTGTCTGTATTACTTACTGTGGGACTTGGGCATGTGTCAGTTTACATACCTTGCAGTGCACATATTCTGGGTATCCAGCTTGTTAAGCCCCTGTAGGGTGAACATTTCTTTTAGCATTGGAATTAAATGAGAAGAGCAGGAACTTTGCTTTGAAACTATACAACTCAGGTTGAAATCCTGGCTTCTTCACTTAGAGCTTTGTGACCTGAGACAAACTTATATAACCATTCAAGTTCAGAGTCCTCCTGTATTCCAGGCTGCATGAGAGCAGGGACCTAGTCTGTATGTTTTCAGGTTGTATACCTTACATCTGGAACGTGACAGGCAGTGATTGGCATGTGATAGCCACTCAAATATTTGTTGAATGAAAGGAGTGAGAATAATTACTTTCATAGGGTTGGTGTGAGGATTAAATGAAACAGTTAATGTAAATTACATAGCACAGGGGCTTCTCAATTAAAATTAGTTTTCCTTTGTGATCTTGATCCCTTTATCATTTTATATTTAGGGTCTGGTTTAGTATCTACTTGTGTTTAGTAGGTGCCTTTATCCATCAGTGTTCCATCAGGAAAACAGAACAAAAACAGAGATTTATTGCAAGGAATTGTCTTACAAAGTTTTGAGGGCTGGTTAGGTGAGTCTGAAATCCACAGGGCAGGTGGTTAGGAAGGGCAGGCTGGAACTCTTAGGCAGAAGCTGAAGCTTCAATCCATAGGCCAAATTTCTTCCTCAGAGGAACCTCAGTTCTATTATTAAGGCCTTTCAATTGATTGGATCAGCCATGCCCAACTCATCCAGAATACTCTTCTTTACTTAAAGTCAACTGATAGTAGATGCTAATCACATCTACAAAATACCTTCACAGCAATACCTAAATTAGTGTTTGATTGAATAATGGGACCGTGGCCTAGCCAAATTGACACACAAAACTGACCATCACAGCATCATGGTTTGGAGAATTCCTTTATTATTCTAAATGAATTATTGGGGGTGTTTTATAAAACTAGAAATGTGATTAATTTAGAGTATAATAGAGGGTTTTGTGGTACATTGTAGGTTTTATTCATTTGTTAAACAACTATTATTGAGAATGTATTATATGCCAGGCACCGTGCTGTGTGTGAGCTCAAGGAACTCACATTTTGGTTGGAAGAGAAACAAATGAATGGGCACCACAATCAGTGACTTAATGGCTATTACAGAGGCAAGAACAGGAAGGAGAAGGATACCTAACCAAGTTTTGGAGGTCTTTCTGAGTAATAAAGTCTTTTTAAATATTACCTCAGCTGAGATATAATGGTGAGTACTCATCATTGTAGTTATCTAAGGAAAGCAATAAGGAGGAGGGGAGAAGGTAAGAGAATAAGTAGATACCATGTAGTGGGGATAGCACATTCTATCTATTTGTAGGAAATAACAGCAAATCCAGGGAATTAAAAGTAGCTCAGAATGGATAGGAAATAAACGTGGAGCATGAGCTGGGACAAAGAGAACTTTGGATGTTGGTGGTGGAGGATAGGGGAAGATGAGATTGAACACATTAGTGTAGTTATATCCCACAGGGTCTTGTAAACTAGAAAAACTTGTTGAGAAGTTTGAATCTTCTCCAAAAAGTGGTGGTGAGCCATAGGGAAGTTTCAAGGAGAAGAGTAACTGAATTGATCCAATTTGAGCTTTAGAAGGATTATTATAGAATAGGTTTGGGATTTGTGGGGCAGAGGTATAGTACTTGGAAAAAACTAAGGCTGGAAGACAAGCTAGGAAGCTGGTTAATAATGATGAAGGCTGAACTAAAGAAGTGGCTATTATCAGTACTGAACTAAGGCAGTGT